TTAAGTCCTTGACATCGTGGTTCATCCGATGAGATCATCGTGGAGCATGTGGGAGCCAACATGGGTATCCAGATCCCGCTGTTGGTTATTGACCGGAGAACGTCTCGGTCATGTCTGCATGGTTCCCGAACCCGTAGGGTCTACACACTTAAGGTTCGATGACGCTAGGGTTATAAAGGAAGTTTGTATGTGGTTACCGAATGTTGTTCGGAGTCCCGGATGAGATCCCGGACGTCACGAGGAGTTCCGGAATGATCCGGAGGTAACGATTTATATATGGGAAGTCCTGTTTTGGTCACCGGAAAAGTTTCAGGTTTTATCGGTAACGTACCGGGACCACCGGGAGGGTCCCAGGGGGTCCACCAAGTGGGGCCACAAGCCCCGGAGGGCTGCATGGGCCAAGTGTGGGAGGAGACCAGCCCTAGGTGGGCTGGTGCGCCCCCCCCCCCCACCAAGGCCCAAGGCTCAAGGAAGAGGGGAAGGGGGCAAACCCTAGGGCAGATGGGCCCTAAGGCCCACCCTGGTGCGCCTCCCCCTCTCCCCTCCCCTTGGCCGCCCCTAGATGGGATCTAGGGGGCTGCCGCCACCCCTAGGGAGGGAACCCTAGGTGGGGGCGCAGCCCCTCCCCTCCCTCTCTATATAGTTGAGGTTTGGGCTGCCCAGTACACACGAGTTCCTCTCCCTGTTGGTGCAGCCCTACCTCTCTTTCTCCTCGTCTCTCGTAGTGCTTGGTGAAGCCCTGCTGGATCACCACGCTCCTCCACCACCACCACGCCATTGTGCTGCTGCTGGATGGAGTCTTCCTCAACCTCTCCCTCTCTCCTTGCTGGATCAAGGCATGGGAGACGTCACCGGGTTGTACGTGTGTTGAACGCGGAGGTGCCGTCCGTTCAGCACTAGGATCTCCGGTGATTTGGATCACGACGAGTACGACTCCTTCAACCCCGTTCTCTTGAACGCTTCCGCTTAGCGATCTACAAGGGTATGTAGATGCACTCTCCTTACCCTCGTTGCTAGATTACTCCATAGATTGATCTTGGTGATGCGTAGAAAATTTTGAATTTCTGCTACGTTCCCCTACACTAATTTTGTAAAATAGTTGCCTAGAATATTATGAAGTTGTTTATCATTGTTTTTCTAAGTTGCCTACAAACACTCTGAAGTGGCCGAGATTCATCATCATGTTTCCTACCGTAACTAGCAATATATAGCAAACACAAGAGCATCATCGATAGACGACATCATAGTATTATAGACAATTTAGAAACAACGACATACAAGCATGAACAATAGGCAACTTAGAAGTACCGATGAGGAAGTTTGGAGAATGTTAGACAAAATTAACTAGGACACACAAGGTAGTGACGTTGCCCGCTTTTAGCACTAGAGTTGCATCTTGTGGAAGAAAAGTTGCTCATAAAGGTGATGTGATATTATATACCTCAGTTTGGTAGTTGTTCTGTATTTTTAGTTAGTTGCTTATTGTTGCTAATTAATTATTTTTAGGAGTGGAGTTGCTTCTGTTTAGCATTAAAGTTGCCTCATCTAGCATCAAAGTTTCTTTTAAAACTAAGTAGCGTTAGCAACTTAGGTCCAGAGCCGCCTATGTATGAAGCTAAGTTGTATGCAACTAAGGATGATGTTAAACTACTAGCTAGTCATGATAGCCCCCTTAGGATACTGTTAGCCTACCTTAAAAACTAAGTTGCCTACAATACTATAAACTTGCCTACGAATGATGCTCAGTTGGCTACATACATTGAAATTTTGTCCCACATGGTTTTTATGTTGTCTAAGATATACTTGATAGGTAAATTCACTAGTACACATGATGCAAGGAAGTTGCTTCTGTTTAGTACTAAAATTGCCTCAACTAGAACCAAAGTTGCTTTAAAAAAATTCATCAAAACATATACATATGAGATCTAGTTTTGAAAATCTCGTCGCGAGAAATCTAATGGTGAAAACGGATTTTCATTTTGACACTCGGTTCAAAAGTTATAGCTTTTTTAAAAAATGAGACGGAATAATGTGAGATGATATCAGCACATGCATGCAGGTAATCCTTAGTGATCATCCACCACCTGACAACATCAGTACATCGCGAGGAGGAAGGAGGCCGTTTTCTTAGCAGTGTTGTCGCCTAGCAGGTGCGCAATCATCGGACAGCTCGCGTGTGCGCTTGGCTCCGCCAGATAGCGCAGCTGCGCGTTTTAGTTTTTAGGTAAACAAATCTTTGTTAAAATAGTTAGCCATACGAATGTCCTTAAAGATCAGAGCAACAAATGTCGCAGAGAACCCTTCATCCTAAAGAGTATCAACAACTCCTGCGCAGTCATACTGGATGACCAATTTCTGACAACCTAGTTGATTTGCAAAATGAATTCCATGTAGAACTGTTTGGGCAAGCTGTGGCTGCATCTATCGCAAAAGGAATAACCTGGGAGCTCGCAGGGCCTCGCAGTACCGCAAAAAAAAAACAAGAATTGCAGGTTTACCGTAAACGAATTTGCACGACACGGCTTTACTAAATCTGTTAGAGATGATCTAAGGTCAACTCCAATGCACGGCCCCAAATAGCCGGGTCGCGTCCGTTTGAGCTCAAATGGACATAACAGGCGGCTCAACGCGCATCTCCATCTTCAAATTGTGTTTTTTGTCCGGCTTGACCCATTTCAGGTGCATAGTTGAGCGAGCTTTGCAGTCACACGGACAACGGACGGACTAGCATGTGGCGTCTCGGCGTTCGCCTCGGGTCCGCGTGTCAGCCATCCAACCACCTCACACCGACCCTAGTCAATGCGCACCGATGGTTGGGCCCGCAAGTCAACCACCCAGACGGCTCCCGACCACGTCCTTTTTTATGGCGAAGCCATGGACTTCCACTGCCACTGCCACTTCCCCATCCCCATCCACTTCCCCACCATTGCCCCCTCCATCGGAGACACCAAACCCTAGCCACCGTCCACCTCGCTCCCCTTCGGCCATGGGGTTCTAGAAGTGGAACCGCGGCAAGAACAGAGCAAGCATGACCACGAGGCGGGGTCGTGTCCGCCTCGTCTAGAAGTGCGGCCAGCCACTCCACCTCGCCGGCGCCTTTCTCCATCTCCCCTCCGGTGGTCGCGCCACGCTTCAGGCCGTACGTGAAGGTCGCCGTCTACCGCCGGTAGTGGGAGACTGGCACCCCGCTGCCTTGGTCAGATGCCCACCTCCTAATGGGTGGCATCTGAGCCTGGATCGGGTTCCCATTCCCCCCGTCCCGCTGAGCGACCGTGCCCGCTTGCAGGAGATCGCCCGTCATCGCGCCCGGATCCCGCCTAGCACCTCGCCGACCGCAGGTACGACGTCGGCTCGCCCCTCTGGGACACATGGTTCCAAGACGAGCATGACATGCCTCGCAAACCTATTTTGCCAGCCATGGTCATAGCCCGCCCCCTAACGCCGACACTCTCTCCCTCCTCGTCGCCGCCGCCCCGCAGCCTCCCGCCATGACGGCCGAGGAGGAGGAGCGGCTCATGCAGGCCGTCATGGAGGACTCCAAGCAGGAGTACAAGTGCCTCCAGGAGGAGGAATGGTAGGGCCTGCAGGAGATGCTCGAGTTGTCGGCCTCCGGAGACGTCTACGTGCCGGAGCTGGGCGTGAAGCAGGAGATGAAGGAGGAGGCCACGGAGGAGCGTGCATGGGCGCCGTGGTCACCGCCGCCGCAGCAGCTTGCACAACACGCGCCTGGCCCATTCTGGGGGCTGCCGCCCCACCATTGAACGCCCCCCACCCTACATCGACCTAACAAGCGACGACGAGGATGGTGGCGCTTGAAGACGGCGGCAGGGACGGCTTCAACGACTACAACGTCAACGGTGACTACTTCTGCAGCGCGCAAGGCGGCCGCATTATCTTCTTCTTTTATGTTTTATTAATTTCATCTCAAATACTATGCGTGGCCATGACTATGGACTTTTAAATGAAGTTATGTATGTTCTAAGCTATTTTGCAATGCCTTTTTTGTTATTTTTTTAAGTCCAACACGGACATATTTTGGGATGTTGCCGTGCATTGGGTGCCCTGACCCATGGACGGCCCAAACCGGACACCGGCGTCCGTTTTACCGCACCAAACTGACAGACCGTGGACGGCCCAAACCGGACATTGGCGCCCGTTTTGCCGCGCCAAACTGACAGACCGTGGACGGCCCAAACCAGACATTGGCATCCGTTTTGCCGCGCCAAACTGACAGAATCCAGACCAAACAAAGATGGCCTATGGATCTATAAATGCTCAATATCTCCTTTGAATTAAAGAAGCCCTACAACTGCTGAAACCGCACATTCAAATAAAATAGGTTTAATGTTGGATTGCTAATCGTTCTAGCTAAAACGGCTGAACCTACAAATTCAACCTGCTCTACCAGAGCTGCCGTCTACAGAAAACAAAATCATTTTCGAACAGCTCTACGAAATATATTACTCACTCTGTAAACTACTTTAGTGATCTAAACGCTCTTATATATTAGTTTACAGAGGTAATACTTCCCAAATTTGAAGTAAAAAACGGCAGCCAGAAGAATACGACTCACAGAAAAGTAAACAGACAAGCAGAGGTGCATAAACACAGGCCACAACAACAGTTTTCATCGTTCAGGCGAGCCAGACCATCGGGTACCACTTGGCAATTCAGAGTACATTACTTCAACCACTCTAGCTAAACCTGTAGCTAGTTTCCAAAAGTCAAAGTTCAACCATCCAGACCTAGAGCTGGCACACGGGTGCATAGTACGGTTTCCACATACACACAACTTGATTTCGGCCCTCAAAAGAAAGAACTCGATTTCAGTTAACATCCATACACCAGAGACCCCCGTTGCGGATTCTTCATTGCCTGATCAGCTGCATATATGTTTAAGATTAAGACCCATTCAGAAATTTAGATGATTAAGAAAGGCGAGAGATCAGGAAGAGGTGTGGTTGAAAGATTTGCCCCCGGATTACCTGTGTAGCTGAGGTTCACTTGGAGGCTTTTATGTTAGCGAGGGCGGTAAGGGCCTCCGCGATCTTGCCTTCATTGATCGACCTAGTGGCCTGTGCAAAGAAATTTGGATTTTGCAGGACTGAGCTCCTGTTCCTGGTAGTATATAAAATGGCATATATCCCAAATGCCAGCAAAAGACACTGACCTTGAGAGACGGTATGAGTGCATAAACCTCTTCAATGGTCTCAGGCCCAATGTTCGCTATCATGCATATCTGTTACAGGTACAACAAGCCATTTCATGTTGAGATGAGGGAAATGAGATACAAGAAGGTGAGAGGAAAAGAAGGGTGACGAACCTCGCCATCATTAACACCATAGTCTTTAAGGGGTCTGCAGCTACGAGTCAAGGAAATTAACTACAAAGTGGTTGCTTGGCGAAACAATTTAACTGCGTAACCACATGCAATCTCCAATACTAGTTCTTAATCAAAACAAAGGATACTCCAGGATTTCTTTCACCAACTTCGCAGAGGTGAAGTGATTTCCTTCTTTTGCATATTGAAAGGCCTTGTCAAACGACCTGCCGGTGCAAGAAGAAAAGAGTAAACATGAAGGCACACAAGCTAACAGACTAGAACACCACATAAACAATTATTAGTGGAACATAACAGAATTAAAACAACAGATGTTCCTTACTCGGGAATTTTTATCTTCGGATCCTCTGATAAGATAGCCATATGTCCCTGAATTTTCTGCAACATTTCTGCTGCTTCACAGTTCGTTAACAATATAGAATTTGGAGACATATCTGCAACCAATTGTTATGCGGGAATCAGCTTGCCTATTTTTCGTTTAGACAGAAGGGACGTTTGAAAATCATAATATAAGATGTTTGCCCGTTTCAAATGATGTAAAACTAACAATCTCATTATACAGAACTTCTCAAGTAAAGAGCCTACTGAAATTCCATAAACTACCGAACTTCAACTACTATTAAAATAAGCTTCTAGAAAAATAGAGGATATTTCAATGGAAGGAACTGACCAAGCTGAAGCTTTAGTTCTGCATCAGACATTGCAGGCTTTGCATTTGATGCGGAGCCCTTCCCACCCTTCCCAGCACTAAATGCCTTCCCTCCTTTGCTACCTTCTCCTATGAGAACATAATACATGAAAGAAAGATATGCAAGACACAGAAAGGCAATCGATTGTATAACTAGAACTTTTAGTTTTATCAGCAATGTATAGCAAAAGTACAAAATGATGCATACATACCATTAGAAAAGGATGAAGCCTTTCCACCAGTTTTTAGGCTATCAGATGAAGCTTTCCCATTTGACTTGGAGTGTGTGGGGGGAGCCTCTTCTTCGAAAAAATCTAAATACAGGCAGTGATATATGAGGTTCTTGTATATTTTCAACTATATATCAATATATTATTCACATTGACTTATTCAGTTTCATTGAATTATTTATTTACTGTGATCAGATATCCTGGCCTATCAAATACTGCAACAGTTACAATGTAAGCAGCTCAATGATTACCATTTGTTATGCACAACCATAAATTGGTGAAAAAACAACAGTGTCTTGCCCTCAACTACAAACGATATGAAGTGTCCTTCCACACTCAATGTAATGGTAAATAACATCAACTATGAAAAAATAGTCAACGAATCATCTGCAAGTAAAACCAAAGGGGAACCACAAACATGGTATATAATTCTCTTCCGACATTTTTTTTCTGTAGTATTTGATCAATCCTATGAAGGCTGCCAAGATAAGTATTTGGCGAGCGTAGAAGGTCGTGGTACTCTTCTAGTCAAATGATTCTTTACTGGAACAAAAAAGTATCATTTCATGTTTTCAAACATAAAAGTTTACTACCTTCTTGCTAAAGATGCCCTAAACCATAGGGTAGCAGGGTACAACCGTACAAATGAAATTTTCTGACAGTGATAAATGAAACACAACGGATGCTGATCATGTCAGACAGATAGCTCGGAACGTGCGGGCAGACACAAGTGATATTCTTATAACAAAAGCAAATACCAAAGGATTTTCTCATGGAGCAGAGCTGTGATAAGTGTAGTAAAACTAGATTTAAATAAACTGTTGCCCGGAAAATGTTTAATGAAGAGATTGGGCAATATTATTACCATCAGAATCAGAATCAGAATCATCAGAAATCAGAACCATCTGCCTTCCGTTCAGTGCTCCTGTCAGAATAAATCAGTTAAGAAATCTGTCAAACTCTAAACTTGCCTTCGAAAGCTCAACTGACACAGCATTCATTTTGATAAAGCTGTAAAATCATCAATCATCATATAGCAGGATCACAAAACTGAACAACAAAAAAACATACCATAAAAATCTTAGATTAAAAAACTTCCATGTCAGACATAAATACCTTTATTATGTTCGGGTTTGGCACCTGAGGCAGTGCGGGGGTTGTCGCTCTGGTTTGGCATGGCAGAGGATATTACTGGGCGGGACATGGGCTGTCAAATATCCTGCGTGTTCTGAAGGTAGTGGCCGTGCGAGGCGGCGCTGGGGTTGGCGCTCAGGTTCAGGTTTGTGTTTGGGTTCAGTGTGTGGATGGAGTTGCCTGAGCTGGCCATGGGAGATTGGCGATCATGCAGGCGGCTCAAGGCGGCTCTGAGGTTAACACTCAGATTCAGGTTACGCATGTAGGAGTTGACTGAGCAGGGTATGAGGTATCGGAGATGCTGCGGGTAGTGAAGGTAGCCGCCACCCAAGGCGGCGCTAGGGTTTCCATTTAAGTTTGGAACGGGGAAGGAGATTGCTGGGCGGGGCATAGGGGGGTGAAGATCCAGCATGTGGTGGAGGTAGGGGACGCCGTGAAAGGGAGAGGTGACCGAGGGCTGGGAGTAGCAGGACGGCAGCGGCAGGGAACATGGGCGTGGTGGTAGGCGCCGGGTTAGGAGGGAGGCGACCCGAAGAGAATACCCATGTCGAAGGGACAATCGGGGTTGTTAGTGTTCGGATTAGGGTTAAGGTTTCTGGCTGGAGACACCATGGGAGGCGGCGGTGGAGTAGATCTGGAGAAGAGGAGAAGAGGAGGAAAGTTGGAGGTGGGATGAAGCAGAAATGGAGGTCAATAACTCAAGATATAGGCGGTGGTTGTCTTGTTGCTGTTGTGCCCCGCAATTTCACTTTATTTTTGACTTAAAGCCTCTCAGTTCCAAACAAGTTGTGGTACGCTAGACTTGAAACCCACAAGGTCTCGCGACCAAGTCATGGCTCTGCCACATGAATAGCTAACTTCCACGCACCCATGCCCATGGCTAGTCCTTTGGTGATAGTGCTGCTAAATATTGCTATTTTAAATTAATTCCAAAAATACCCAGTACAATATGCAGACTTGATGCGTGTACATCACTCCATTCCACGCATTTCAACAAGACAACAAGGTTGTAGTGTGTGTTTCTAAGATGCTGCGAAATAGATAACCTATTGCTAGTAAACATCCAAGCATATTAGTGAGGCACAAAGACTCATCAGCCCTTACCCCGTAAAAGAAGTTAAAGCCAATCATACGTTGGCCAAGCGAGTAGTGCTCGGACCACTTCAAATATGCAAGGGATAAATCATCGTGCTCTCCAAAGTACTATATTCTTGAGAGAGAATTTACGGCATGTCGTAAGCCGTTCTGACACGGGTAGAAAAAACGCTAACTATCACAGAACCACGAGCATATCACACATGTGATATTTCAGAATAGGTATATACCTCAGTTTCTAGTTTAGTTCTACATTTGATCCAAGGATTTTCCTTTACCAAAATAGTGAAGGTTGGATTAACTACGGGGCTCCTTGGTTTCCAGCCACACCTTGCCACACTTTGCCACAACATATCAAGTTAGGGAAGTTTGACCAAGTTAGGTGGGTGTTTGGTTGTAGCCACACCTAAGGCAAGATTCTTTTGTTCAAAATAAGTCCACATGTCATACAGACAAAAAGTGTGACGAAATTCCCTCAGGCAATCCAAAGTGAGGCTAAGAATTTGAGTACCTAAGCTAAGGCAAGTCTGGCAGAAGTAGTGTGGCAAAATTAGTCACCAACCAAATATGCCCTACATTAACAGGCGATCTTCCTCTGCATAGCAGAATTAAAAAACACACACACCAAGATGCTCAAGCATGGAATTTAAATACACAGACCAAGCTTATGTGCTTACTGCTTAACTGCACCAAAATCAACAAAACTTCTTCCAAGGAAGGCATGCAAGACATATCCACATATATTCTCTCTCTTGTTGAAGGGAAGGACCATTCATTAGACTAAAACCCTTAGGAATCGCTAAATTTAGCCATGCACTTGTCCACAAACACAAATGATCCATTTAGTGTTACCTTATTCACAGGCAAACAGACCCAAAACCTAATAAGGCTGCTAGTGATTCCACAATGCCCAGCAACGTTTAATGCATTGTCATTTTGAGCAAGCCGTGTCACGATCAACTCAATTATCTACTTTTCCAGTTTTCCTTGATACACCAAATTATAAGAACCCACGCACATATGAGTGTGACACAACCAGTGAATGCAGATTTTTTGAGCTTATGCACCCAGGCCACACTAATCCTGGCTGTCAGTTGCTGCTGCTGAACCTCGAGATGCGCACACCTTTCAACCGATTTATCCAGATCCATTACCGTGACAGCAGTATGTTACGGTCGATTCGCGTCATAGGGTTCTCGTTCCATTCCTGACGACCGTACGAATCAATGAAACATTCAGCTGCGCATGTCTTTTATGGTTATAATGGGGTTGGGGTTCAATCTATATTCCCCGATTCATATGTGCTGAAGCCGCTCTATATGACTCTTGTGCTAAATCACAGATCCGTCGTCACTGATGGTTTCTCGGCCGTTGTCGAATAACAGAATTCCAAGCAGGCGGTGTCAGGAGCAGAACTAACGGGTCTCACACCTCTCCCGCTCGATCCTAACCAGGACAAGGGGCTCGTACCCAAAATTAAATCCACGCAAAATTAACTGGTGGCTCCGCAATGAAACCCGCCGGTGCCAGAATTGGACCTCGGCGATGCGCGTCCAGGGCCAGGCCGCCGCCGGCGGCAGACCCGGGCGAACGGCTGAATCACCTCCTCCTCCCTATCCAGCAACTAATGCCTCCACTCAGATCAGTTTCTTCTCCATCCTTTGCCTCAAACAAATCCGCCCCAGCCGCCCAGCATTCTCCTCTGGAGAGAAATACAGAGTGCAGCACACCATCTTCGACTGCTATGGTATTGTGTCACGGACTCACGGGTCGCCTATATGCGTTGTCTTTATCTGAGGGAGCACGGGCCAGCAGGTACAGTACCCTAGTAGGAATTAGGCCTTTCACGGTCCGGGACCCTGTAATCCCGTCCGAGATTAACGTACCACTCGATCTTTACAGAATCCAGCGACACAGGTCCCTATAACTATGGACGCTCGGGATAAGGGGACCGGGATGCATAAGCTCACTGGAATGTTTTTGCACAACCAGTAGCAAAGTTGTTAAGATTAATTTGGTAACAAATATTAGCCAGATGTATTTCTATGAGCGCACATAAACAGATAATCCAATCCAACTCCACAATCCAAAGGGCATTGTGCTAGGAAGAAAATTCCACAATCCAAAAGTCCTACAGTCGAAAGAAGCCCTCAACAAATTGAATAACCAACTCTCCCGCCCCGCTGCCGCTACTGCTCGAAAGCCTTTGGATCCCCTACAGGACTAAACAGTTATGTTTTGCCGTCGATATATCACACACCCATAACAAAATCCGACCAAAACCACGTAAGCAACCGAATCATCAGCCCTCGCACCGATCAGATTGGATCTAAACCCTCTCCAATAGCCAAAATTCATATCCCCTTCGATGCCCACCCGCCGGGGCACCAGTATCATTCGTGACAACAAAACCCTCGGCGTTCTGCAAACCCTAATCCCTTGCCATTGCGGGGAAGGGGGGATAAAACGGAAGGGGGGTCACCTGACTTGGACGGGGGGTACGACCCCTTCCCTCCCCTGTTCGCCATTGCGGCTGCCCGCGGAGGAGGAGGCGGCGGTGATCGGGAGGCGCCCGCCGGAGTCGTCCGCGCCGCTCTCCGCACCGACGCCGCACGCGCCCCGCTGCTCACTGCTCGCTGTCGCTGGGGAGGAGACGGAGAGTGAGGGAGAGTGCGGCCTGCCTCTGCCCGGATGTATTGACGGGTTTATAAAGTTGGGCTGGGGAGTGAGGAGGGATGCTCTGGGCTCGGATCGATTATGGGCCCATGAGTCCGGCACGAGGGCCCATACATGAGATACAACCATTCTAAAAAAAACATAAGATGCAACCATGCTTGCTCGGATACACGACCGGTGGATCCGCAGTGCCTCTTCCGAGATCCATTCCCTCCTCCACCCCCTCCCTCTCTCAAGCTTGCCGGTGCGGTGATTTTCATAAGGGAAACGTTTCAGAACGGCGCGCCGGTCAAACGATTCGGCTGGTCGCGTCGCGTGCGCTCGATCAACCCACAGGGATCGTGCGTCTATCCTTCGCCTTCTGTGTTTTTTTTTCTTTTTTCTTATCTTCTTGCTTCCATCTCAACCCACCACCTACCATCCTCTTTCCCCGGCGAGCACCAACAGCCTCGTGTGCAGCCGTGTGCGCCCTTGCGGACGGTGCAAACCAGCACAGGACCCCAATCACATGCCCTTTTTTGCTGCAACCTCGTCGCCATGGAAGCGCCCTCGTGCCCTGCGCCTGTCGCCATGGTCGAGCGTGATGGGAGCCAGGACCGGATGTTGCGAGCTGCAAGCTAAGCGGTGCGACGAGCGATGGCCGGAGCTGCAGCTGACACCCCCACAAGTGAAAAAGAATTGCAACTATTGACAGAAATGTTTCAACGGTACATATTAAAGTTTCAACCATAGTTGGTTTTTGCTACTACCGACGAAGATTTTTGCTACATCCATCAAGGTGGAGCTGAACCTCACGACAGCGGTGACGGTGATTTGCTGCAACCGTAATCAGTTTTTGCTACTACCGATGAAGTTTTTTGCTACAACCGTCTTCTGGTTTTGCAACGGCGGCCATTGTTGCGACAGGCGACGGCGATGGAGGCCATTTTTGCTACAACCGTGTCATTTTTTTTTTTTGCTACTACTGTCTGTATGTTTTGCTACGTCCATTTCATGAGGCCATGGCGCTTTTTTACTGATTGAGATGTGCCCGACGACGATGAGGACGACATTTTTGTTGCAACAGCCTCGTTTATTTGCTACTACTGGCGACGTATTTTTGCTACATTCATTCACAAGGCCATGGTGCTTCAAGCGTGGGGACGAGTTCCGGTGACGTTTTTGCTACAGCTTGCGGCACGGAGTGGGGTGCTACAACCGGCGGTGACCATGCTACAACGGCGGCCAGCGAGAGCGGCAGCCGGTGGTGATCCCAAAACAAGTTGTTGTCACCGGAGACTTGAGTTTTGCTGCAGCCGACCCATCGAGTTTACTGGAGCCGGTGGTGGTAGAATGTTGGAACCGGCAATTCAAATTGCTACGACGGCGAGGTTTTTGGCTACAACCGCTATGGAGTTTTGCTGGAACCATCATAAGGAACTGCAGGAAGCGGCTTGGATTTTTGCTGGAAGCAGGTACGCACCAAGTTGCAACCATTGTAGTTTTTGCTGGAACCGTCATGAGAGGCGACTAGGTGAGGTGCTTCACGCTTGAGAATATCGCCTGAGGAAGGAGGAGACTTTTTTTGCTAGAACACTAGTGTTACAACCCCTTTTCTTTCTTGCTGGTACCGGCGGCAATTTTGCTGGAACCCGCACAGATTTTGCTACATTCATTCACGCCCAAGCTGCATCCCGTGACTGACGGCGGCGACCATTTTTTTGTTATAACAGTTGTAGTTTTTGCTACGTCCGTCGAGGACTTTTGCTACATCCTTTTTCACGGTAGACCTGCAAGCTCGACGGCGATTAGCTGCGGGCGGGGGTGGCCAGCAAGTGCGGGCGGCGTGGGGGTGCCCGACGAGCACGGGCGGCGCAGGGTGGCCGGCGAGCGCGGGCGTGAGCGCTGGGGGCGCGAGGGTGGCCGGCGAGCACGGGCGCGAGCAAGCGTGGACAGCGCGGGATGGCCAGCGAGCACGGGCGCGAGCGAGCGCGGGCGACGCAGGGTGCCGGCGAGCACGGGGGCGAGCGCTGGGCGGGACGGGAGTGGCCGGCAAGCACAGACGCGAGCGCTGGTGACGAGCACGGAAGGAAGAAGACGACTCAGTCGTTGCTATACGTAGACCGTTGATTTCGTACGGATCCAATGCTCGGCAGCGATCTGGCCAAAACTTGGGCGGGCGCGCCGGCGCCTAGCGTTCGCCTTTCCATAACACTGCCCTGTCAAAACCACAAAAAAGTCACCACGACAACAAAGAAAAAAAAGATGTGTACATAGGGGCCATGGACTTACTGAAAGTTGGGGGCTCCGGTGAGTCGGAGCAGGAGTGCAACTTGGGGCTGCACAATCGGTCGCCGGCTTAGGGGATCTCTCATTGAAGCAATCGAGGGAGAGAAGAGAGAGCGTGAAGGTAAGAAAATGTCCAGGCTGCGGAGGAGAGAGGCAAGCGGTGATGTCTTATAGGTCATGTGATGCGTGGGAGCGTGTTCTGATTAGAATTTCAGTTTAAGAATTACTAGCATACATGTCGTGCGTTGCAATAAAATAATTTTTTAGAAGTATATTTCAATTTCTTCCAAGGGTATTGGTTCATTGCTCAGTCTTTAATGGGGCACGACACTTTGGATCCTCATGTTTGAAATTTCAGTTGAAGTCCTGCGATTAATGCTCCAGTTTAATTCATGGATAAATTATTCCAACGGTATTGGCTCATTGCATCGCATCTTCATGGATAATTTTAGGAAATTTCGGTCTAAGACCCGCAATTAATGTCTCAATTTTATCCATGGATAATTTCTTCCAATGGTTTTGGCTCATTACGCAGTCTTTAATCGACCACGACACTTCGGATCCTCATGCTCAAAATTCCATTTTAGGTCCCGTAATTGATGCCCACAATTTAATCTGTGGATAATTTCTTCCACGGTGTTGGCTATTGTGCATCCTTTAATCGAGCACAATTTAATTCATGGATAATTTCTTCCAACGATGTTGGCTCATTGCGCAACTTTTAATCGGGATTTTCCTCAAGGGATAAATCAGATTCTTCGATGGCTTATTGATTGGTAAGTCGGAGAGATATATTTGGTGGGTTCAGAGTAAAAAATAAGATGGGACTATTTAATTGATGAACAAACATGAAAAGACATATAAAGGTTTTCCATTTAGGAAAGAGTCCCTCGCTGGTCATACATCTTGATTCAATGATATAATATTCGCAGCCCTGTCCCCGCCTATGAATATCTAGAGAAGAACAATGTAAGAAAAATTGCATACATTTTCGCACACAACAGGACGCTGTTGCAACTATATCTCAAAACATTGGTTGGCCCAAAAGCGAAGCTCCATGATCAATGTGGGGATATGGTGAGAAGTATTAGTGTTAAAGCGTTTGCTAAGTTAATTTCTCAATGTGGGGATGTAGCTCAGATGGTAGATCGCTCGCTTAGCATGCGAGAGGTATGGGGATCGATACCCCACTTCTCCAATTTTTTTATTTTTTATTTGTTTTTGTTTTTCTGCAGATCTCAATATTGTACTGTAAAAAACTATATTCACTTCACTTTTGCAAACTCGAAAAACTCCCCAAACATGTGCAAATTTCTTCTATACATAAAAGGAAAATCAAAAGCATGCACACAATCTGTGCTCCAAACTAAGGCGGTGCTTAATAAATCACATGGGGATCGATACCCCACTTCTCCATTTTTTTTTATTTTTTTTTGTTTTTCTGCAGATCTCAATATTGTACTGTAAAAAACTATATTCACTTCACTTTTGCAAACTCGAAAAACTCCCCAAACACGTGCAAATTTCTTCTATACATAAAAGGAAAATCAAAAGCATGCACACAATCTGTGCTCCAAACTAAGGCGGTGCTTAATAAATCACATGCCAAGAGGGAAATGTCACCATCATGATTTTGTTAACCATCCGTACTGTAGAAAAGGAAAGAGCAAAATGATACCCCGAGTCACAGTTGCAGCATTCCAGAAAGAAAGAAACAAAAACTCATCCATATGCTCTACCCTAGGGATGAAAATGGAGTGGAAACTTTCCGTTTTTTCGGAGGAAAAATGGAAACAGAGAGGAAATATGAAAACGGAAACGGAAATTTGCAAAACGGAAACGGAAATGGAATTTTCTATGCGGAAACGGAAACAAAAACGGAACGGTGTTTTCCGGTGGAACATGCATGGAAATGGAACTTTCTGTTTCCGTGAATATGGAATTTCTGTTTTTACTATAGACCTATAGCTGCTTTGTAGCCCAACCACCAAAGAGAACACAATGGCACAATTAGTAGAATGGATCTAAGGCCCAACTTCTACTACAACACATGTACTCAGCTTGACCCTATACGCAATTGTCCGGTACTACTACAATACTACACTAAGTTGCTAACATAATGATACTATTTTGTAGCCATGTTAGCAACTCATTAAATTTGTTTATTTTTGTGTGTATTTCTCTGTGATTCAAGGGGTTTTTAAGTTCCGATCAATGTCTATTTCTGTTTCCGTATCCGCTTTGTATTTGCTTCGTGTCTGTTTTCGGTAGTATCTGTTTCCGCATTCATTTCCGGGGTTTCTGTATTCATTTCCGCTTCTGCAAAAAAAATATGAAAACAAATATGATAGCACTCAGTTTCGTCCGTTTCCGCTCCGTTTTCATCCCTACTCTACCCTGCATCCAACCAAATTTATCCGGTCGATCAATCTCACCAATGCAAAAAAAGATTAAAATAAAAATGTCCCCCTACGCCCAACCAAAAACCTACGGTGAAATCTACCTTCCTTCCAATAGTGTGTGTGCGCGTGCATGCGTGTGTGTCATGCAAAATAGCTACCCAATTCGATGAAGCTTGACTTGC